GCTTTCAATGTCAATGGCGATATCTCCGGCCTTCCCAGGGAGCTGCATGCATTCCTCAGTCTCGTAGCTCTGCTTTGGCCGTGACCTCGGTATTTTTGCCAAGATCAGGGGTTTTGAGGCACCAATAGCCTCTTCACACACTTTCAAAAATCTTACTGAACTGTCCTAGAGCTGAAGGACACTCGCACACATCCGAGCTACAGAGAGGATTGAATGGGACCAAAGAAAATTTACTAGAGCACAATCCACATTTCTAACACTAAACGTACGCTGCCTCCCCAGATATTTAGTACTTACCACCCTGAACACACCTACTGTAATTAAAGCTATGCTGGAATTGCCTCTCATTCTTTTTATCTGTTTTTCAAATCTCTCATACTCCCAAAGGGAGGACAGAAACCTTCCTGAAGCGCTTTAAGTCAGGACTTACCATTCAAACCAGTAACGCAGGATACGCTGGAACTGCTAACCGATGTTAGGGGTGAGACGGAAGTCGCAGCCAACCTGCGCTGCCTGCCTACACCGAGGCTCCCAGGAGACAACTGCACACAGGGAAGCCAACAGGGAAGCAGGCACGTGCTCCAAGCACTTCAGAGATGGTTCCCCTACACCCACACAGAGTTCTCTGTTTTCTCACAGGCACCGAGAAACACCGCCAGGGCTTCTAAGCACAGTCACTTCTTACACGAGGAGCCTAACGCTTCTTGCTCAACCAAACAGATCGCAGGGGACCTCAGCCTCATGCCAACAGCGTCAACCTGAGCACGTGCTTTGGTTACGGACCATCCACATGTCCTAATGGGATTCAGACTTCTTTGAAACAGAGAAGTTAATTTAAACATGCTATATGCTGTTTAGCGATAAGTCGTAACAGACTTAGAGCAGCATACAGCCCAGGGAACAAGTCACCCCACTCCACACTCGGCAAGGATTTCTTCTGTCAGATCCACGCTTGTGCCACCCACGTGTTTTGGGGACTTCCTAAGCAAAGAAAGCCACCACACATCTGCATCTGACTGCCTCTTCTAGTCATCCCATTCAGAAGACAACAGGATTGTAGAGCAGGTTCTAGAAGCTTCACAGCAGCAGTTTCCCCACTGACGGGCGATGATGTTCAGGCTCAGCTTCACCCAAGAGAGCTTGCTGCTCTGTGGTGGGCTGCCTGCGATGCCAGGAGCCGCAGTTCTGGCGCAGATGCCCCGGTCTCCAGCTTAACCATGGACACAGAAGCAGTTTCTTACATGCTGTACTCACGAGCTGAATCTGAAATCTTTCTGTTGGTGGCTCGGTGCGATTGAAGGTTTCCAAACCTGTCCTCATGCTTCCTCGTCTGCTCCATAGAAAGCGCCTACTGGAAGCCCAGCTTTGTTTCCTGACAATTCCTACAGTTTGAGGACACTGCAAAAGTCACCTGCTGATCAAGATTTTCACCCCCAGACAGCAGTAAGAAACCTGTTTTACATAATTAGTTTTGCTTTCCTTTATATGCCCTGGAAAGACTTTTCTTTTTTCATTAACTCCCTGCCTAGTTTCAGACTACAAAGATAGGCAATTTTAAGTGGGTTGTAGTAGCACTGTGGTTTCAAGATGATGTATTCTACAGACATTAAACGAAAAAACTCCAACTTTATTACATCCTTCTCACTTTCAGTCACACTAAGCTGAAGCAGCCCCATCATTCAGAGTTTCAGAACAAGGGGGCAAAAAGCAACCAGTCACACTGGCTGTTTCACCGAGCGGTGACGCTTTCCTCAGTGCCTGTGGCAGATCAACCTTTCTGACAAAGAAAAGCCTCAGAAAAGCGCTACCACCTTCAGCCATTTAAGCCAAATCCATGGAAATCCAGACCGCCAGCAGTTAACGCTGCCATCAGCCTCTTTCCCAACAGCCAGATTTTGCTCTTAAAAGCTTCCCGCTGCACACGCTGCAAAGTTTGGCTCCTCTTCTGTTTGCATTGCTAGAGAACATTCATGTCAACTGGAGCTCTGTTACGAATAGCATATGCCGGTTTTGGGTCACTGAACCGGCCTCAGCAGAATTACAATGAAAGCAGCTAATTAGGACTCGCCAGCATGGCGCGAGCACTCCTGGAGCACCAAGGCACTCCGGAGCGCAGGTTTTTGCTCTGGATACACCGGAGGCCACGCGGGCCGTGCTCGGGGGAGAAATCCAGCAGCTCAGCTCCTGCAGGGCAGCGTGGCCGAGGGACCACGGTCTGCCCGCTCCCCCCACGGCGGGGAGGGTCTCCGAGGGGGCTTCCGAGCACTGTCTTTTCGCTATTTTTTTTTTTTAAAGCAGAGTGGTGAAAGCTTATAAATGGATTAATAAATCCCTGGCACGCCTGCACCTTACAGGCGGTAGATGTCTTACTTACCGGGAATTTTTCGCCACTACCGTCTGATGGACGTCAGTGCTGTTCAAACCACCG